CGGTTGCTGTGTGTGGAAGTACGTGGCGGCTAGTCGGCTGGGTTCCTGGAGGGCTGGCAGGAGGCAGGGTGTCCCTCCCTCTGTGACTGAGGTAGTTGTTGAAGTCCTGGGGAGGTGCTGCTGGCTCCTTACTTGTGCAGTAGTGTTCAAAACTTCCTATGGCCGGGCAGCAGCGGCACAAGCCTTTAATCCCAGCACTCGGGAGGCAGAGCCTGGCGGACCTCTGTGAGTTCAAGGCCTGCCTGGTGTACAGAGCGAGATCCAGGACAGGCTCCAAAACTACACAGAGAAGCCCTGTCTTGAAAAACCAAAACCAAAATCAACAACAAAAAAAAAACAAAATTTCCTATGGCTTGGCTACTTTAGTGGTTCGATCAGAGCCTTTATCATCCTCAAGTTTCTGCCTTCTGGAGCTTAGGGCTGGGGAGGAGGAAGTACCTAGTGCAGGAGCAAACACAGTGTGGTCCAAGGTCTGATGGGGAAGGGGAACCGGAGAAGGAGGGAGTGAGGGAGGAATGGAAGGAGGGAGTCATCCTTTAGGATGTGAGCCCAGGACCTGCCTGTGGCTTCTTTCTTTCCATTACAGAGTCTTTTAACTTGTCCCTAGAATGCCTCATTTTCTAGCATCTCAAACTTAAAAAAAGGACAATGCTAAAGTTAGACTTAAGGGCACATGTGAACATTCGTAACCACAGGTGACAAAGGAATGTCTGTCATGCGGGCCCCTTGTGTGCCAGGCAGAGTAGTGCCTGGTGCTTCTTGGCCCACATACTATGGTGGGAAGGTGACTGGCTCATACAGAATCTCAGAACATGATGGGTGGATGTGACGGTCCCTTTGTTTGTTTAGAAGCCTGGACCTAAGGATCCCCCTGCGTTCTAGCTTTGTGGCTGTAAAGTGGTCTGTGATGTTTTGCAGACGCCCTTCGAGACCCGAGCACGCAGCTGAGAGCCTGTCCTGCCGGTGCTGCCGCCTGCCTGCTGAAGGGAGACCAGGCGTTTGATGTTGGCCGGCCCAAGGAGGGGCTGAAGCTAGTGAGCCAGGACAGGTCAGTCTGTAGCCACCGTGGCTTATTTTACGTCCTCAGCAAGAGTCTGCCTTCTAGGGGGACTAATGGAGAAGGGAAGGGGATGGAAGCCTGGTAGTGGGGTGCTGGCAAGATCAAAGTGTCTGCTGTGTGTATGTGTGAAAATGCCATTGTGAGACCTGTCGTGATGAACAATTAGTAACTGGTAAGTTAATACTGGTAACAGATGAGAAACAGAAAGAACCTGGCCTGTAGGAGCCAGGGAAGCACACCCTCTTTCCAGCAGGCTGGTTGCTCGCTGTCCTGTCTCAAGCTGGTTTCCATGGTGCTCACTTGTTTTATTTACTAGGTGACATCCATTTGGCTTTGTGAGACAGTCTTGCCGTGTAGCTTAAAGTAGCTTGGAATTCTTGATCCTGCTCAGTTTCTGTCACTCGTCAGGTTATCTGTAGCCTTTCTTTTGGAGAAGTAGGTGGGGCAGTTTGCTGGTGACCTATCTGGGACGGCGCGCGCCCTCCCCCACCACTCTCTTACGTATACAGGCTCCTGTGTTGCCCGCGGCCTCACCTTCAGGAGCATGACTCTTTTCTCTGGCCTGTTGGAAGAACTAACTGATGCAGTACTAGACTGCAGACTTGTACTCCTAAAGCAGGACCTGAATTGGAAAAAAGCTGAGAGTTTTCTGTGTCTGTATCAACTTGCTCACATTGCCATAAGCAAATACCACAGAGTGGGGCATTTGAACAGCAGGAATTTATTTCCTCAGCTGCAATTTCAGAGACTAAGAGTTCCAGACAGGTTCCCTCCAACCCCCCCCCACCCCCCGCCTTTTTTTTTTCTTTTTTCCCTCCGAGACAGGGTTTCTCTGTGTAAGAGCTCTGGCTGTCCTCAAACTCAGGTTGGTTTCTTATGTGGCCTATCCCCTTGTTCTGTTCGAGGCCATCTTTCCCTGGGGCTTCACAGAGTCTTCTGGTCTGCGTTCTCATATCCTCTCAACAACAGAACTGCAGCATGAGGATCCCATTTGTCAACTTCTCTAATGCCCCTGTGGTCTAGTGATCACCTGTTGGGGCACGTCTGTCAGGGCTGCACTATTTGGAGTTGGGAGGGATTGTCCAGAGTGACAGGGCGGTGATTGAGGGCCCCAGGTGGCGGCTGAGGGCTCAGGGCATGTAGGATTCCACACAGAGCGCGACTTGTCTATAGTCAGCGCTTGTGTGGTGGTGCATGGCCCACAGGTGAGGCAGGGGCCTGCTGACTACTGCGAGTGCTTGCTTGGTAGAGACGTGGGCTGGGCTTTGGGTGCAGCAGCCCGAGCCCGTGGCTGCTGTGCCCGCCATCTTGACCAGCCGCAGGCTGACAGGGTGACATACAGCTCTTTGTTGGGGAAAGATCATGTGACCTTGTGGGGAAAATGTGTTAGGCCTCTCAGCTCTGTTGATCTTGCTTTATTAGGTCCCTTACAAAAGTGGTCTTTATTATGTAGACAGCTTCCTTTAGGATGTTTAGTTTGCATACGGATCATCATATTCATTTGACTTTCAACAGGAAGAGACTCTGAAGTTTATACTTTCCTGCTTTTTCAAAATGGAACTAGAACAATGCCGTTTTATTATTTTCCTCTGTACGCCATCCCTCAGCTGTACTGACTGCTCAGGGCACTGCAGAGGTTTGAATGTAATCCGCACTTCTGTAATACGATTTCTCCACATGGCTTCTGCAGGCTTGTTCTGAGTTATGTGAAGGAAGGGGCAGAAAAGCCAGACTTCTGTAATGGTCACAGCCCTGCAGTGACGATAACGTTTGTGTGCCCATCTGAGCGGAGAGAGGTGAGTGACTTGTCTCTAAGTGACTTTAAAGATGTGATCCTCAGCCAGACTTGCCCAAAGGGTCGTGGGTCTGTGTTTGAGACGTGGGGGTGGGTGCCGGGAAGGGTGGCACACTGGAGGGACCTTGGACTCTCGGTAGGGAACAGCTTCTAAGAGCTTCAGCTGCCTGTGGCGGCCAGTGTTTTCTTCCTTGTTTGTGTTAGTTTAGAGACAGGGTCTTGTGTGGACCCTTGGCTTCCCAAGAGCTGGGATTACAGGGGTGCACCACAGCGCCTGCCCCCCTGGTCCTGGGATTACAGGGGTGCACCACAGCGCCTGCCCCTCGGTCCTGGGATTACAGGGGTGCACCACAGCGTCTGGCCCCTGGTCCTGG